AAAATGGATTCTCTATGCGAATATTAAACGCCAAAAACAATGGCAAAAACCACTTCCGACCCCAAAACCTGGTCACCATCCGCAGAAATGATGCTTTGCATTTGGTGGGACATCAAAGGATTAATTCATTTCGAACTCTCAATCCACAGTGAACTGTCAATGCAGAGATCTATAGTCAGCAACTGGAACGTTTAAATCAAGCTATTCATCAGAAACGCCCTTCACTCGTCAGTCTTAAAGGTGTTCTTCTTCTCCACGACAATGCACGTCCACATGTGTCACGTTTGTTTAACACAAGATTATGGAGTTGGGTTGGGAAGTTCTCCCCCCACCTACCATATTCTCCAGATATGACACCATCATATTACCATCTTTTTCGTTCGCTGCAACACCATTTTAATGGGAAAACGTATGCAAATGTGGAAGGTGTTAAAGAGGACATTGACATGTTTTTTGCTTCAAAGCCAAGTAATTTCTTTAATCAGGGCATTAACAACCTGACTGTAAGATGGAAAAGCATCATCGATAGGAATGGAGCTATTTCATTTAATAAATATTTTGTTTTGATATACAAGTTGTTCGTGTTTTGTTTTGTTTTTTCGTTTAAAAAAAAACGACATTATTTTCTTGACGACCTAATATATACAGTCTTAATATAACCCTGACCCAAATGCACCTTTTGTTTGCATGTTTAGAAAATTTTACCTGAAGATATATCCTAATCCATTTATGGAAGAGTAAAACACCTTACTATTTCAGTCCTTACACTTTTGTTTTTTTTACTGCTACAGCATTACTTTTGTCTGCTGGAGAAATTGTCTTTCTTCAAGTTTCTAGGACAATTTTTTTTCCTTGTCGGTTGGTAGTGGGGTTTACATTTCAAGGCTTTCTGGACTGCTGACTTTATCTTGATTCTGAATTATTCTTTTTTCTGGTAGACTGTAAATTGTCTTTTTTGGTTGTAGCTGTATCTAAGATGAGTATTTTTTTATGTGTGAGAACGAAATTTAGTCTCTTAATTTATATTAGGCCACCCGTGGCACGTTGGGTCACTCATTATTCAAACGTTATGAAGAATTCAAGCTAATTTCAATATTGCACCGAAATGAAG